ATGGTCATAACATGAGCTCCATAACTCCGATTCGCGAGCCGTCTGAACCGACGCGATCACAAAAATATTTCCTACGAGATGACATAAAAGTTGGGCTTAGAATCCAAATTATAATTTTAACCCCTTTTTGGGCCCAATTCGTAATCAATTGCTCTAACAATTTAATTAATTCTTTTGGGCCAGATTTCGGGGCGTTACAATTTGATCTGGACTAGGAAGGGGGTATGAATCCATCGGACAAGCCTTGTTCAAGTCCGTATAATCCACACACATTCTCCACGTGTCGCCCTTGGGAGCAAGGACAACGTTGGCCAACCAATCCGGGTATTTGACTTCCCGGATGTGACCAACACTGAGGAGATCCTTCACTTCCTTCTTGACGAAGTCTCGCCGGTCACTGGCCAGGTACCGCTTCTTCTGACGTACCGGTCGACTTCCTTCCCTCACGGCCAACCGGTGGCAGATAACAGAGTGATCTATTCCGGGCATATCCGCCACGCTCCATGCAAATATGCCTGCGTATTCTTGGAGGACCCATGTAATCTCTGCCTTGAGATCCTCGGGGAGATTTGCTCCAATTCTGACCATCCTCGAAGAATCACCCGGGTGAAGTTCGATTTCCACCATCTCGGCCTCGGGCTCCAATTTCTCCCGGGTCTCTCCCTTTTTGATCTCTTGGGAGATGACATTGACCCCCTTGGTCATCTTCTTGACTGCCCGGGCATAGCACTCCCGGGCATTCCTCTGGTCGCCTTTTGGTGGTCCCGAAGTGGTGAGATACAAAGTCTAGAGGGGGGGGTGAATAGACTTTGTTACAAATTTTAAAACTTTTTCGTTTCTTTTGAAAACGTGAAAATGAGTGTTAATCTAGAGTTCTTGTGAACTTTAGATTATGTGCGGAAGTTGGTGGGTAGAGTGAGCAGTAATCAATATGGATGGGTTAGTTTTCACAGTTAATATAATTGCAAGTAAAAATAAAGATAAAAGAGAGAGACACACAAACTTTAACGAGGTTCGAAGGTGGGGTAATCCTTCTACGTCCTCAAAATCCACTATGTAGTTGGTCGTTGAATAATGAACCAATAATTACACTTGTGT